AGAAAATAATGAGGAAGTGAAGAGAATAATAAAGTATAAATAAATAGGTATAGAATATAATAGAATAGAATAATATAGAACTACTTTTCTCTTACTTTTTGTATCACCTATTTTATTTTAACTTTCGAAATGATATACAGATAAATATTTTAAAATAGAAAAAGTAGCATAAAAGTACAAAAAAATAAACACGTTAAAATGATAACATTTGGGAACCGTCCTTCAAGGAATTACAAAGTGAAACCAAACTATTTTTCTTAGAACTAGCTTTACACAGCGCTGCAGAATAGGACGTATACATTATGGATAAATTCACTGACTTGTTTCTGCATGTCTTGTAGATCTTTCTGGAGAGGAAAGAGTATTTTTAAGCTAGATTAACTCTTCTCTCCTAACTGACGATACCAACGTTAATTCCACTATAAATGTGGTAAATAATTACGCAGTGAAAGAGTTAAAGGAGAATGGTTGATGGGCTGGGACGGTGGGCTTTGAAAACAATTGCAAGGATTTTTTTGAGTCCAGTCATCTTTAGTTTAAAGTCTTCTATAGCCATTGTATTTACATTTATTGTTTCTTCTACACAAGTATATTCTAGACCTTTCTTGTGAAGCTGTTTTCTTATGGAGCTTTCTTCTTCTGGATTGAATGGAGCTGTCAAATTCTTATCCTGGATTTGTCTTCTTCCATGCATGTCTTCTACATGAGTTATTGTCAATAGCAGGGGTGTGTAAGATGTGAGATTGTGTGTGTGTTTGTTTATTTTATTAGCTGTGAGTTGTGAACTGTTTTTATCTCGGGTTTTTCAATAGGGTTAATAAGTGCATCCAGTGGTCAGTCTAGTCAGTTGGAGAGCTGACCTGGTCTGAGTAGGGTGTTGTGAGGAGAGTGAGGAGATATTATTCTTTCTATGTGTGTGTATTGAACATTTGTGTAATGTTATGGAATTCGATGATACCTTGTGATAATAAATTATTGAATCTAGTCTAAGCGCCCTTGAATATTTAATTTGGGTACATTTAATACCTTTTAGCATATTATGATTGTGTATGTATACTATATGTGTAACACATGTATGCTCCTTTGTTGAATGTGATCTATCATAACAAATAAGTAATACCGGAGAATCGACCACTTTGGCATGTACTTCGTGTTGAATATGAATAGAGAATCACATCCTTAGCCATGGGTGTTAAACACAATCCCACCTGCACTTGTCATACTTGACCAGCGCCCATATAATACTTGTACACGTTTAATGATCTACAGTTGGGGCAGTCAATCCCCACTATGAACTAATCAAAGTTCTTTACAGTTATATATATATATCAGTCTTCTGTAGCTGTTTTTGTAACCATTACATATATCTGTCTTCTGTCTTTGTCTTTCGTATCCGCTCTAAGTATCTGTCTTCTGCACTTGTCTTCCATACCCGTTATATGTAACTGTCTTCATTGCATGCCTTTTACACTTATTTTTGTTGTGTACGTGTCTTTAATACCCGTTTTATGTACGTCTTCTATGATTGTCTTCAGTGTGGTATTCTGTACTTTTCTTCTGTATTTCTTTTAATAGTTGCAGGTACCTGTCTGTTGTAGTTGTTTTATGTACCTGTCTACTGTACCTGCTCTATGTACCTGTCTTCTGTACTTGTTCTATGTACTTTTTCTTTCTCTATGTACCTGTCTTCTGTACCTTCTCTGTGTACATGTCTTCTGTACTTGTTAGATGTACCTGTCTTCTGTTCTCTCACTTTAACAGACTCTCTCTCTCTCTCCAGTTGGTCAGTTAAAAATTTCAAAGAATCACAGAAATGTACTTAACTAGTAAGTTTCAGCAGTTTACACTTCAAAATAAGAAGGGATCTTTCTTTTTTCTTTCTTGTCTAATGAAGAAGTACTTTTGGAGAGGAGATAAATACAACGGAGACATCAGAATTAGTTCATAAGTTTCTAGCTTTATGTCAAGTTTTCTTTGGTGATTCTGTTATTGAAATTAAATTATATTGTGTTAAAAGTGTGTTCAGTCTTTCTATAATTTCTACTTAAAGAATGTAATCGTTTTATTTCTTAAAAAGGGAGTTCTGTTACTTTTGTCAACTAGACATTTAAAGTTTGGGTCATCAAATATATCTTCTGGAAACATAGTTAAGTTCCTTTCATACCTTGCGATCTATTGGGCATATGATATAAAGGTCATTTGTTTCTATTGTGAACTAATCAATGACGCACCTTGGCAAACAAACAATGATTAATAACAGTCCTGTGTAACAATTTTATTTAGTGCATGCCTATCAACTTTACTTATTTCACATTTTAATCAATGTCTTCTTTCCATTTCTCTGCTTTATCACGACCTTCAAAGAAGTAGGTCAAGCCTCGTTTTTAATTTTCCAACCGACGACTCTGAGACTCCAGAACATACAGAAGTCAGTCTGGTTATTGATTGTGCACTTTTTCTGAGTAATTATTAAGTTATACATTGTGTGTTAGTTAAATTGTTTTGCCAGCCCAACATTTAGATTATTGATAAATAAACAAGGGGCGTAAGCGGACATCTGAACACGAGCAAGAGTGTAAGAAGTGACAATGAACTGAGACACGATTCCTTAAGAGAGACCTCTCCAAATGAGACAAATGTAACCTATAAATGCTTCTGAATATTAACAATTCAGATTTCTATCATATAAAAGCAAAGTGAAGAGCCATAATGATTTAATGCGTTATCAAACGAAAGTTTACAAACTACTTTTTGACATTGTTTATATGAGTAGCTTGAATGATTCCACTTGACTAAGGGAGTGAATGTTGGAATGTTATGTGTCATGTGTGTTGACAAAGTGTGTAAAATAAAGTCACTCATGAATCTGGTACTAGAGCGTTGGTGTTGTTTATTAAGTGTAGTGTCCAGAGCTTAACACTACTAAACTAAAGCGTTATCTTGTTACAAATCATAATGTAACAGTAAAAGTAAAATTTCCCTTTCAGACCATACGGTCTATAGAGCAGATGATGTTAAAGTCATCTGTTTCTTTAGGCAACGGTTAACGAGCAGGGTGTTATGTAGCCAGTACAACGACCAACCGCCTTTACTTTCCCCAACTAAAGTCAGGTACCTATTAGAGTTGGGTGGACTCAACGGCGCCCTAAGAATCCCGAAATTAAAAATCCCAGTCTTCACCGAGATTCGAAGTCGGGACTTCAAGTTCAAGTTCAGAAGCCAAGCGATTAACTACTCACCCACCGAGCACCCATCATAATGAATTAAACAAGAGACCAGTAGATTTCATTAAATGTCAAATTAGAGTATATACAAATAAGCTTAAAATAATTAGCAATACGACAACAGTGAATGAAAACCTCTTAAGGTTTCATACATCATTGCATTGCGAATAATGCAGATTAAGAAACAAACACGTTTGATTATGACAACGGGTTTAGAAATACGTTAAATGGACAAATCAGGCTGTGTTGTGTGGCATACGAAAGAGTCCCAGGACTTAAAAGGTTTGAGAACCTCTGATCTACAATGTTAATGTTACGACAATCTAGTTTCTGGTTCAGACATGTCTACTTTGGCCTTGGTGTGGCTTACAGTACTGGTTGGTAGACGGTAGATTTTTATTGCTACATTCCCTAGTGGGGAGTTGGGTAGTTGGCATGACAACAATATAAGCAGCCAATAGAAGCATTGCACATATTATTTGACATAAAATCAATGAACATCCGTACTGAACCTAGGAACCCTTTAAAAAAAACAAAAGGTATTTCCTGTCCTTTCCTTTTTGTATTTGTTCGTCCAAGGAAACTAACACAGAGACACAGACATATGTTGAGCCCGTTATTTTCGGCTGCACACGGGGGAAGGTTATTCTAAGGTTATTCTAGCTGGAGCTAGAGTCATAGTCCTTGCTTTTTTCTTTTTTTCTGCCAGCGCTGTTCTTTTTTCCACAGCAATTTGTGCACCTGTTTTTACAGCGCGACGCCATGATGCTTTGTCAGGTGCTTCTGTCTCCCAAGTGTCTGGGTCAACGCTGAAGGTTTTCAGAGAAGTTTTAACGTCCTCAGAGAACACTGAGAACGAGATTCTGAGTTACAATGCTGGAGAACGAAGTAAAGCTGCAAGCAAGACAAAGTACCTCATACTTAACAGACGAAGTTATATTGCCAATGTACAGAAACAAGCTAGTGATGGCATTTCTACGTGATATTTCCTATAATTTAACTTTGTGAAAGTTTGTGTGTAAGTGTGACAGGTATCTTTGCATTTCTCGAAGTACACTTTTGCAATGTAAATAAATGCTATATTTTGAAATTATTTATTTTACCTTATTATGATTTTTGCTTATTTGTGTTTTAAGATATCTAAAGTGCTTCCTGCAAAATGACTGAAAAACTATGATAACATTAAAACAAAAAAAAATATGTTGGCTCTATTTATATTTTACGATATCTACAGTATTCTCTTCAAAAGGACTAAAATATATTTTTTCTGCGCTTTTCGTCACATCAATGGCTAAATTTCTAGGAAAATCATGAGCACCTTTTAGAACCCTATCAACCCAGGTGTTTAGTTCCCATGAATTTGTAAGCTGATTAGAGAAATTGTACAACATTTGAATAGCTCGTTTTTTTTAAAGTTTCTCTATTCAGCTTGCAAAATCTTCAATGGGTCAAAAAAAGACCAAAATCTTTTAAAAACTGTGTGGGTGGACACGGTTTTCGAAAAAGGTTCTAACGATGTCTCTGAAGGAGAAGAAATTTCAGATCAGATCCTCATCATCACCATCATCATTATTATAATCATCAATGTTAATTTGCTCAAAGCTTTAAAAGGCTTAACATATAGAAACTTTCTTATTTGACTCATATGATATGGCATAATTTTGATATTCCAACTCAGGTCAATAAAAAATTTGTCTTTCTGACCTTTCAAAACACACTTTAGACCCTGGAGTAATTTAGAATAAATTTCTTTACGAAACAAATAGACAATTCATAAAACATATATTTTTTTTTATTTGTTTCTCTTATTTTTCTAAAATTAGATCTCATCAAAGAAATACGTAACACTCATTTGAATTTTACAAATCTGTATCTATATTGTTTAGTATATGTATCTAAAAAAAGGCAAAATAAATGCATTAAAAACTAATTATATATATAGTAATCCAAGAATACAATGAAAACAAGAAACAAAATAAGCAGCTATGATTAGCTTTGGCATCTAGGAATAATTAGCTATAGGCCTATGTGTTCTAGGACATTCGAAATTAATTTCACCTAGACTTTTAGAGAGTCTTAAAGTTATTTTTCTAATTGATTAATTTTGTGTGTGTAATGACACATATAAAAGTTTTGAACATCTTTTAAAGTCAAAAATAGCTTTGAATCATCCCTATATCAAATTGTTAGTTACAGTTTTTGAATGTTTTAGATTTGTAATTTTTGTTTAACCTTTAAATAATAAGGGATTATATGTGTCTATTTTAAAAATGAAAAAGATTAAAAACAAAATTAAAAAGATGTTAGCGAAATTGGGTGAATATTTATTCATGACTCGCTTTAAAAAAAATGGCTAGCTGTGCTAGGGCTTTGCTGATTGGATGAAGTAAATTGAATTCTGTTCTTGGTAATATGTCAATAGGAAAAAAAAGCATGAATGAACGCGCCAGGTAAATAAAAAAGTGTCATGGGAAATATGATGCCAGGAAGAACGATTGTGTGTTGACAATATTGGTCATAAAGTGGGTTTTTTGGGCTGTTTAATTTTCAGATGTAGAACAGTGTCTGGGTAGAAAAACATTTTGAGTTTTGTTTAATGTGATGTTCAACTTTATATGTCGTATTGAAATAAATTAGTAGACCGGCGGCGTAACATACGCCGCTATTTAGCTGATCCGTGCTGTCAGTCGCCTCGATAGTTACTACAGAGTAGATTACTTGTCCTCCCCCCTCTCTTTTTTCGCCGCTACGTGAGATAGAAATAAAAAAATAAAGATCTTTCTTGGTCACAACAGTCCGGCCCTGCTATTTACAGTGGGCGAATACTACTTGTTCTCCCCCATCCCCTCTTTTTTTTTCGTGGTGTAACGCTAGTTCGTCCGACTTGCAGAAATAAAAGAGTGATCTTTCCTTTACTTCATGCTTGCGTGTCCAAACTCTTGAGCCATGATGAGAATTATATATATATATAGATAGATTGTTAAAACAAAATGTTCTGTATTTATCCATTATCGACTTTATAATACAGATGTCTTTTGTCCTTTAATGTTTATAAAAAGAGATTTCATTTTCTTTTATGTAATTAATTTTCATCATTATTTCTACAACTATCGGCGAATTTAATTTTCCCCGGAAAGTGCAGCATTTATTCAAAGCATTTCAATTTGATTTCAATAATACATTTCACAATATGTTGACCTATATAAATATGAATACATAGATTACCAGCAATGAACCTCAGTCACCAAAACGAACGGTCACATGATAAGCATTGACAATACAACGAAAAACAAACTGACACGTGATAACTATTGTTAATTCATATTAGTTCTTAAGTTGTATAAAAGAAATAGCGAAGTATTGTTGTTTGTTTAGTTGGTGAATGAGGTCCAATGGGTTTTAAGGCAGTGTCGTTACTGTTTTTTTAATAGCAAAACAAGGGAAGATAACACTAGAGATAAAGCTCCAACAGAAAGAGAAGTCGCTCCACAAAAAGTTTGTCTCAGCCTGTCGTACTCGCTCTGGGTACAGCCACTGTCTACTACGCTGCACGACTGTAAAGAGAAACCGAAACTTGAAAATTGCACGCCTTCACAATAATTTGTAGACGTAAACAAACTAGTAGCCGCCGCGTTGTTGCCTATACAATGTTCAAAACTGGATCGACATTGTCTACTAGCTGATACAAGAGCGATCCCAAAGTTTTCGGTACTATCCAGAGCAATTGTAGAATTTGTTCCACAAGCAGCATTTCTCACTCTGAAGTACTCACTCAGGGTACAGTTTCTGTCTCCAAGCATACAACTCACAAAAATAAAATTGTGTCCTGTGTATCTAATGGCATCACAATTTTTTGTTTGATTCTAATTATTTTTTGCTACGGCTCGACAATTTACAAAACCAGATTTACATTGATCATTTAAAAATGCAAGCACGGTGTCTACATCTTCAGAAACAACTTGACCCAACAATCCCAGGACAAGTGCGACAGAGAGCATTCTTTGATTCATGTTTGTCTAAAATGATGAGAAAAAAGAAAAAGGAGTAAAATAATTTCGAAATGTTAATATAATACTATCATAAGCTTTTTGTTAGCTTTCATTTACATTGAGTAAACTCCAAGTAATTTTTTTTATCTAAATTAATTAAAATTTGGTCTCTAAAATCAAATCCAGAGCACATGTACAATATATTAATGTTTAAATTAAGAAGACCTGAATTAAGAACACCTGGCCAAATAATAAATGTTAAAATTAAGATTACCTGGCCAAATAATGTTTAAATTAAGAGTACCTGGCCTAATAGTGTTTAAATTAAGAGTACCAGGCCAAATAATAGATTTTTAAAGTAAGAGTACCTGGCCAAATAGTCTTTAAAATTAAGAAACCTGGCCAAATCATGTTTAAATTAAGAACACCTAACCAAATAATGTTTAAATTAAGAGAACCTGGCCAAATAATTTTTTAAAATTAAGAACACTTGGCCAAATAATGTTTAAATTAAGAACACCTGACCGAAAAATAGATTTTTTAAGAATGAATGTGTAAAGTAAGAGCACCTGGCCAAAGAATAAATATACCGTGATTTCTATTGATATGAAGACTTAGTTAAACACAAAATTGTCAAATAGTGATGATTGCAGCCTAAGTTGTAAGATAAAATTAAAGTGAATCATCCCTCCCTCCTCTCTCTCTCTCTCTCTCTCTCTCTCTCCCACACACACATACAATGCCAATATGTTTTTGTTTATTTATTTGTTTTCCATTTTCTTCTTCTCTCTCGGAACATGTTGGGCCAGGGCAGTTTGGCGGGGGGGGGGATATTTTTCTCCCCTCCCCCTCACGAAAAACATTTATGCGTGTGTGTGTGTACATAATTAATCTTTATTACGCTCTGACCCTTCATTCTTTCGGAAGACTTTTATTCTACTCTAGAATAGGTTCTTCCTGGTGTTAGTGGAAAACTTTAAAGACTCCCCACCATTGCCAGCTAACATTATCGCCAAGCACTATTTCCTGTATTGAAAGCCAACAAAATGCATATTCTGATGTATCTCTCCCGCTATTAAAAAGTTTTATGTCAAAAAAAGTATGTGCTATTTTTGTTGACTTAGATCATCCCGAGTCGTTCGGCGCATTGGGCGGCAAGCTGCTCCCACAAAAATCTGTCATTAGCAATGCCTGAAGCCTCTTCCCACCTGCTCTGAGGACCTCCATGAAAATGTAGCGCCAAGTTGTACTAGGATGTCCCTGTTTCCTCTTTCATCGTAATAGCATCCCTGTCATCGTAACTCTTACTATGCGTAATTCATTTTGTTTGAGAACATGTCCCGCAAACCTCATGCGACGCTCTGATGGGACCAAGTTTGTGTAGGGATACGGATAATTAGTGAAATTTAAGAGTTTGTATTAGAAAATAAATTCGTTTTTGCATTTATTTATTCTTTACTACGCACAGAACTAATTTACGAGCCTTGCGTGTAGCGAAGTCATACAGTATATCATAACAATGTTATTTCCTACATAGCAAAAATTACCAAATGTTTCAATCTATGTACGAGAATTGTTGACCTCAAGTAATTCTTAATTAGTTTGAGGCGCGAGAAGCTTCTTTCACAAGATTACACAATTATGGCTAATGCACAATACCGTTTTTATTTATAGCGCGTAGGATTGGCGTTTTCCATGTTAAATGACACCATAAAATGTACAATTTTTGTCTATATATTTCATAAGATTTTAAGAATTTCCGGATATTTCCAGGACTTTTTCTGATATTTTGCAGAAGATTTCCAGGAGCTCCTGGTAAATCGACAGGAGGCCGCGAGAAATCTGTTATAAGTTATATAATGGTTTAATTTAATAATTTATACACCTAGAATTAGCGCGGGTTCTATGAAAGTGCGGGGCCCACAGTCAGCGGCCCACTGCGGTCGCATAATTGCGGAGCCCACTGCGGTCACCTAAGGCCGGCCCTGCAAAATAGCTACGTATGCTACGCCGCCGGTCGACTAGTAACTTAAACAAATAATAATTTAACGACTAAAGAAACACTATAGCTTCTATTTAAGTGAACCGTAGATGTTCAAATCATACTTTTTAAAAGCCCTGGACAGAAACTCTTCTCTTTTGAAAATTTCATGTATGTTACATACGTCGAGAAAGTGTGGATTCCCAGGCCGAGACGGAGAAAAGAACAATTTCCTCTTCCTCCCCGTTTCTGGGCCACCTTAAGCCTGACCTGAGCGAAATATGATCCAACCCTAACCCAATCTGCACTGCGCTACAAGAGCTCAGACCCAGGGTAGTCTCCACCACAGGGAGGCGCTGTTGTTGGTTATGAGTCTGCTGTGGCGTTACCATCACACCTATGCAAACTCTGTACCCACTGCGTTGGTTTAAATTCTGAGATGGCAGTGATGAAGGTTTGGATATAGGGAAGTCATGGTCCAGGATTTTGCACAGCCTAAAGTACAGATTTCGAGTCAGTGACCATGATAATCTGTGTCGCCCACACATGTCCCTCGCAGAGTCAAGTATTATTTGAAATGAATAATTACAATTAAACAAATGCAAATACAAAAGTAATACATGGCTAATTGGGAAACTTAAAAAATATGATATAATCTCCTGGTTAATAAAATGTCCTCTTCACTCAGTGAGCTGAATGCGTAAGACACACGGGATGTGCGGCAGAGAGGCTAAGTACGCTTGAACTTGGCTACATATGAACGGGACTCGAGGTTCGACACCCGACTCGATTAGAGTTGTGTTTACTGAGAGTTTAAAGACAGCACGGAAAACCTCCTAGATACCCCCCTGCCCCCGACTGGTCCACAAATGAGATTGGACCATGGTGCTCTGAGCATGCTATAAGCATCAAAGTTGCGCTATTAAAAAAAAAATTTAAAGACAAAAAAAAATCAGATTACATAATGCTAGAGTAAATGTTCTGAGGTTTGAAGTAACCCCGTCAATCTGATCTCTCCTCTACACATAAAAACACACAGAATTGATGTTTTAGAGCAAGATAATTAATTTCTGTATTCATCAACATTATTTTAACTAGTTTAAAATGAAATCCAGCGAACCTGGTATGAATATACTTTGATCCTTGACGATAGAGAATCTAGTCAAACAAGGTACGAATGTGTCTTTCTCGTGGATTCGCTCGGATTTATGAACACTTTCTTGAGTGTCACGTGATATTTTA